TTGTTTTCAACAATTCCCCGGGCCAGTCACTCGTCCAGTCAGTCATTCAGCTGGGAGCTGCCCTTTGCCCCCTGTCCTTCGTCTTAGTCCTTATAAATATGTACATATCTGTCTCTGTGGGGCTTCCCCGGCTTGGCTGCTGATTTTATACATTCAAATTAGTTCGCTTTGCACGAGTGGCCCTCGAATGAGAGAGCGTACTGCTGTGATACTTCCCAACCACGGCTGACTGGCCAGGCAACCAACCAACCCGTCGGCACACGGCACAACCGATCCAATCCCACTATATATATAAATGTATTTGTAGGGAGCCCGGAATGCGGGGGCTATCAAGTTGCCTGTGAAGTGCTTATCCTCAAATCAGTGACACTTGAATGTGCAGCCCAAGTGACTGACCAAGTGGGTGACTGACTGACTGACTGTTGGAGGTCTGAAGCTGCCTTCTTGGCTATTTTCCCTTCAATGTTGGCCTTTTATCAAAAAATTATGAAAAAAGTTGGTTAAAAAATATTTAAAAAAAACTAAATTCCAACCCAAAAATTTATATTTAATAAAAAAAATCATATTACCTCTTAGTTCAAATCGCATTTTCTTCTTAATTTCAAGCCACATTTTCAAGAATAAATCGCCATTGACTTTCTAAACTTGCGTTGCAAAAGTGTAAAGTTTGTTTGTTATTTTGTTTGGTATAGCTTAATGATTTTTGAGGAAAAAGAATTGCAAGGTAGGCTTCGCCTAAAATAAAATTGACATTTTAACATAAAAATTGCCCCCATTTTACTTTATGTGAGAAATCCGCGAGTTCTTCGGCATATTGGGTGGCCAACTTCTTGGTCAAGAATGTCACTGCCTTACTGTCTTATCTAAGCCCTCAATTAAATAATAAAATCTGTACGCGAATTCTTAAGTCTCAATCGACTTTTAGGTTACCATCACCACAGACTCAAACCCAACTTTTTAGTATTTTTGTAGTATTTAAAGCCTTTATTTTTAACCATTATTTCTTCACAAGTACAACAGATTTGTATACATACTATGTATATGTATGTATGGCATCGGCATCGTTTTACTCATATCTGACTCGTGTTTTTTATTAAACAAAATCAACCAAAATCAACAAGAGGAACCAATATAACCATAGATTAACTCTTTGACAATATGAGACCGCGAATTCTTTGGCACAAGAGAATTTTTTTTTATGTTTTACCGTCTTTGAACCCGACATACACGAAATCTTAACCAAAATGAGACCGCGAATTCTTTGTAAGAAGAAGAACCAATAAAGGACCATGTCCAAAACACGTATGGATTTGTTGTCTTTAACTAGGTTTTTCCTATTCACGAATTCTAAAAAAAATGTACACGCGAATTCTTTAGAAGAAGAGGAAATTTTATTGAAATTTATTTTTAAATGTCAAATTTGAAATTTGTTGGCGATGCTACGATGCTACTCGTACGATTACATGATTACAAAAAATAATCGTGGCATCGCCAACTTGATTACTTTTACTCGTGGAATCGGCATCGGCATCGTATCGTGCAGGTCTCTAATACATAGGTGTTGTAGGCCTTGAAAACTATTTTGTATAGAAGTTTTTGTTGGAACTGTTTAAACTTTTTAAACGTTTGCAACGTAATTGAATACCCTAAATATATTTATTATTAATCGAATAAACTATTTAATTTCAGTTATAAGCCATTTCTTTATTGAAGGAAAAACGTCAACACTGTGGGAAGAAGCGACCTAACAAAAGTGCGAAGACTTCGTTTCATTTATTTACTTTGCCCTTCGCCTGCCAACTGGAACTGAAACTGGCCAACAACTCGAGTGCTGTTTGTGTGCCTGATTGAGTAACTAAATAAACTTAGACCCCTGGCCCTTTTTTCACAGCTCCAAGGGATTTATGAATTCTTAATTGTGAAGGCTTAATCGTGTCCATTTTTTTGTATTTGTTTATATAAAGTAATTAAATCTTGAAATCAAATTATAATAGGTTTTTTGGATTATGGCTTCTAACTAATAAATGTAAATGTTTTATATTTAAAACAAGAGAGAACGCTATAGTCGGGTGCCCCGACTATCAGATACCCGTTACTCAGCTAAAGGAAGTGCCATCTCCTTCGCATAAAAACTTTGATCCGCCGTAACTTTTTAACGAATGGTCCGATTTAAAAAATTTCTTCTACATTTCGATAGGTATTGATAATCACCATAAAACTGCATTTTTACTTTTCCGAAATATTGAAATTTTTAAAATCGTATATAAGCGATTGTGGGCGTTAGAGGGGGCGTGGCACCCTTTTGAAACAAACTTGCGCTGCGTAGGAACTCCCTGAATCTGCATGCAAAATGTCAATCTTCTAGCTTTTATAGTTTCCGAGATCACAGCGTTCATACAGACAGACAGACGGACAGACGGACAGACAGACGGACATGGCTAGATCGACTCGGCTAGTGATCCTGATCAAGAATATATATAGTTTATAGGGTCGGAAACGCTTCCTTCTACCTGTTACATACTTTTGCACGAATCTAGTATACCCTTTTACTCTACGAGTAACGGGTATAAAAATGGGTATATGTTTTAAGGAGGGAAAAGGTGAATTGTTAGCGTTAAAACATTTAGGTTGTTCAAATAGCAATGCTGTGTCCCAAAAATCCAGTCTGTTAAAATAAAAATATGATTTTAAAATATAAATTTATTTTTAAACATTTTAGTATCGACCAAATCAGAAAATCTAGCCCATAAAATGAACAAAAAAAATAGTTTTTCTGGAAAGGTCGAATCCACAAAATGGTCATTGAGGGCTGGCCAATAAATTAGCGCAAGTAATTTGCGCAATTAACTAAAAACAGTTGAAACCGCTATTAGTTCGGTTACCGAATATCGTTCGATGCAGCAGCGCGAATGCAATGAATTGGCAATAAATTCTCGGCCCCCAGCAAGTCGGGGGGAAAGCTTTCTCTAACCCCTTACACTTTATTTTATTCGATTGCGTGGGTGTGACGGCATAGTCAACTAATTTATGTTTTAACACACTCGCACATGCAAATTAGCACACGCACAAAATGAATGCAAATATTGGCTCCAAGGGGGCTGCCATAATGAGCTCAAGTTGGGCAAATGGGTGAATGGGCCTGAGGTTTTCAGGGGTTCTTTGCGGTTCATCTGGCAACAACTGTTGACAAAATGAAATCAATAAATTTTAGCGCAAATCAATTAAAATACCCCAGCCAGATTGAATGGGAGTGTTGGGTGTTTGGCCTTCTTCTTCTGTTGGGCAAACGAAAATATTTGTCAATTTGCGGTTTTCACAAAATTAAATTTGTCACACACGCAGCGACAAGGCGGAATGTCCGGATGAGCTTAGGGAATTTCGCCTCACTTTGTGTGAAATTTATTCTAATTTATTTATACGGCTTATTAAAATTGTTGTAACTTTCATTATTTAATTAAAATTTAGTCAAATTTGATTTGCAACCCGGTCAGCAGAGCAAACGTGGCAGTTGAAAGTTGAATCCAGTTTATGAAATCAATTTGAAACTTCCATCGCAAATTGAGCAGATTACGGGATAAGCTCAAATAAGAAGAATAAATAGATTACTTAGAGTCAAAATCTGCCAAGTGGGCCACCCCTGTTCCGAAGGTCCGATTTTCATCGATCTTTTTTACTTTTCCGGTTCACAACGAAAATATAAGAACTTCATTTGAACGGTTTTGCGAAATTTTGAGTTTTACCGGAGTTATAGGGGTCAAAACATGGCATTTTTGACACTTTTTCGAAAAAGTTGCACTCAGTCAAAAATTCATAACTTCGGAACGGTAAGAGATATCTTTATGATGTTTTCACTAATCGCTCAAGAATTATTATGGCTTTCCATAAAAAAAAATTAACATTTTTTTTTCTTAAAAATAAATTAACATTTTTTTTAGTTTTTATTTTTTTCAGTGTTCTTCACCAGCTATAGAGTTTAAAACCATTTGAAAATGAAGTTTGATTCATTACGAAAAAAAAAAAAAAAAAAGAGGGGCCCGGACAAAGGTTTTTCGCAATATCGATTTTAAGAAGGGCGCACAGCGGATTCCCATACAAAACGACAAGAAGTGCCTCATTGACAGCTGCAGTCGGCTGACGCTACGCGCGCAACGGCATGTGTTGACCAGCCAATTTTCACGAGCAAGCCGTTTTTGTATGGAAAACCGCTGTGCGCCCTTCTTCAAATCGATATTGCGAAAAACCTTTGTCCGGGCCCCTCTTTTTTTTTTTTTATCTTTTTCGTAATGAATCAAACTTCATTTTCAAATGGTTTTAAACTCTATAGCTGGTGAAGAACACTGAAAAAAATAAAAACTAAAAAAAATGTTGATTTATTTTTAAGAAAAAAAATTTTTAATTTTTTTTAAATTTTTTTATGGAAAGCCATAATATTCTTGAGCGATTAGTGAAAACATCATAAAGATATCTCTTACCGTTCCGAAGTTATGAATTTTTGACTGAGTGCAACTTTTTTCGAAAAAGTGTCAAAAATGCCATGTTTTGACCCCTATAACTCCGGTAAAACTCAAAATTTCGCAAAACCGTTCAAATGAAGTTCTTATATTTTCGTTGTGAACCGGAAAAGTAAAAAAGATCGATGAAAATCGGACCTTCGGAACAGGGGTGGCCCACTTGGCAGATTTTGACTCTTACTAATCATATTTGAGTTGCCAGCAAAGAAGTTAAAATAAATTGTGTTTAAATAAAATAGAAAGCAAAAAGATACGATAAATCGAAAAATTGGTTTATTTCCTTTATATTTTGTAGCAGTTACGATGCTTTATTACACCCTCCCTTTCAGGGAAAATCCTATGCAAAATATGATTTTAAAATTGTTTTTTTTTAAGACCCCCCCAACAAAATCCTGACTACGACACTGGGTCACCGATTTACATTGAAGCATGAATCGTAGTTGCCTTTTCGGTGTTGCTCAGATTTATTTAAAAAATTTGCACATTCAAAATACTTCATACACGAAAAATGAAAACATTCTTGATCATATGATAAAGGGGCACTTCAAGAGGCAAACGCAAAAAGAAGCAACCCAGAGCTTTAACAACATTTTTAAAATAAATATTTCCGAGGTGTACAACGTTTGGGAATGCCCCAATTAGACACTGGGAACCTAAACACTTAGAGCTGCCACTGCGATAATTGTCAGATCGAGCCTTAAACAGCATAGAAAAGCTTGATATAAAAAATTCTCCATTTGGGAGTCAAATGTAAAGTCAATAAACTATTCAAGCGTTTAGAGTTCTGCAGACCATGTTTAAGGACACCGAAACCGCATCGACCAGCGGATTCGCACGGGAGGTGGGCGGTGCGCATTCGACCCCTGACGCCCCACAGCCCACTCCCGGTGCCCCGCCCCCTGATGCTAGCCACACGCTGGACCGCCGTCTAAACCCCAACGCACCTGTGTTTGTGCCCGATTTCAAGGCCAGTCAGGTGGCCAAAAAGCTGTTTGATGATTGTAAGTACTGCAACATTCAAAACCAACATCAACATAAATGATACGAAAATAATATTCAGGAACAATATTTTTTTTATTAAATCTTTGATTTTTTGTTAAATTTCCATTTGCCTTAAGGTTAAAGTTTATTGTCAAATCTTTTATTTTGAAGTTGAACCTTAACGACTTTTTAGAAGTTTTTCGAAAATTGGTTAGATGGCTACAAATCTGGGTGCTAAATTTTAGCTTGTTCCCAATATACTTTAAATCTCCACAGATCGACTTATCTTTTTAAAATATTTTGTTTGTTCTGTAATAAATAACACCATATTTTCAGTATCGCCCTATACTCGCTGGAGCACAGCTTCCTCTGAGGACATCTCCTACGGACCCCGCTACGAGTCCATTTGGTGTGAGGTCAGCCTACAGCAGCAGCAACGTCTGCCCAATCCGGGCTTAGATTACTGTCTGGATCCCGGCGAGGATGAGGTCGGAGAATTGGAGTTTGACGAGGTTCAGGCCATGAATATCGGAGCCGAGTCCTATGATCCCAAAGCTCGTAGCACATCAATCAGTCAGGCAATGGATGTGGATGTCCCCGAGATTGTGGGGGATGTACAGTCGCAACTGGAGGAATCACTGGATGAGGGGAAAAGCAATCGCTTTCAGAACCGCCACTCCTCCAGACCGGCCAGAAGATGTTGTCGTCTCATGTAGACCACGAACAACCAAAGGACTGTCGAATTTAAATATTCCATTTGTATTTACAATTGTAGGCAGACTAATTAAAATGTATCATTACGCTCTAAACGCAGATTAGATTTTAAAACCTATTTATATTAATCAATTTAGAATATAAATTAATTATTTCGTAATGATTATTATTTAAAAGAAATTAAAAATACTGTCGAAAGCCCTATCTGTTTTTTTTTTAGCTTGAGATTTCATAACCAAAAGTGTACTATAATTTTTACAGCATCTGTATAGAATTACTATGTTTTCTTTTGCATAGAAAACCTATGTTATCTTTTGAGTGCTTCCCCCTTTGAAAACTTAAATTAAAATTTAAAAGTTTTCTAAATGCTTTTAAGGTCAATAGGCCTTCTATTAATTTTTATCCTCGTCAGCATTAAATTTATTTTCCAGCATTTAACCCGGCTCGAATCTTTAATAAACTAAATTCCTAAGGAATTCCCTAACAGTATTGCAATTAAGACGCTGTTCAGAACTTTCTAAATGCACTCCTTTCAAGCCCACTCATGGCAGACTGAGAGAAAGGAAGCTCCGTGTAGAAAGGTCGACTATACCTATGACATAATTTATAGCCTACATTTTAGCGCCCTAAACGGGTTTGTTTCACTTTCCACGAAGGCTCTTGCCTTGCTGCCTTCAGCTACTTTGTCCTGACTTTCTAATGATGTTGAATATGCATGAAAAGTTTTGCCGCACGCAGAATTTTCCCGCCCGGATGGCAGCTGAAAACTTGATTCACCTGTCTATGGGTTGCATGGCTGCAGGACCGCCCTCACTTTAAAAGACCACTGCAAACAATATATTTCCAGAAATGTCATAGAAAATATTATGCATTTTTAAACGAAATTACGAAAACAGCTATACAATTAAGTACAAATAATTTCAGGTTAATTATCTGATTATTACCACTTTATTATTAATACATACATTTAATGCTTTTTACTATTTCCCAGGTAAATGTACTCATTTTTTCGACTGCACACTTTTGCCATTGTCTGTTAAGCAAAGTGGCGACAACTTTCCATTTTTTCGCTTCTTGATTATTTTAGTTTCAGACATTTTTTGGATAAGAAAGGAGAACTCATAAGGGGCTTGAGTGTCTGTATGTGTATGTGTCTTGGAATGAGAAAACTTTCGTGTCCTTGCGATGTCTCATTTAGAGCTGTCCGGGCTCTGGATGCCTGATGTCCTAAGCCAAGGATAACGCAGCTGCCCACGACTTTTGAATGATTAAAGTCGCGAAGGGACACGCAGTGCAGTCCCATCTGCAGTTGCACAAATGCTTGGCGGAAACAATTACCAACTCGTATGCAAAAGTGCCAAATTGCCAATGGAGCTTCTCCATGGGCGAAACTTTCACGCCGCTCAATGTCAGCGGGACATGTGAGCAAAAGGAGGTTCCAGCCCCTACACCTGGGCCCACTTACCTCCCCTCCCCGTTTCGAACCCAGTTTTTGGTCCTTTGGCAAGGATTCGCTGGCAATTTTGTGCCAATTTTCTGCGCCTTCTGTTTGTTTATGAAACAAGTCACGTAAGCGACGAAACCCGTTCGCTCCTTTGCCCTTTTTGGGGGGCGTTGAACCACCTCCAGCTGGCTAAGTGGGCGTGCCATCACCTTGTTTTTGCCCCTATTACTCTCCTTGCCGTCGTTGTTTCGTCCTGGGGCGATTGTCATTGGAATCGAGAATTCAGCAATTGGCAAACGTCACGAAGGCGGCTAAAACTTTTCACGATCTTTCGCGCCCTTTTCGCCTGATTGTTGATTTGGCAATCTTTTGTTTTAGCCCTTTTCGGCGGCAACTTTTTCCTTTATGTCTGTGATTTTTGGTGGCTTTTTATGATCGGCTGTTTATTGCATAAAATTTATGCCCGTATATATTGTGCAATTGAAAAAGTTTGTCACATTTCTGTGATTTTCCGGCCTCATCGTCAGCAGGACAGTGCGTTGCAAAAGTAGAAGTAATAAAGGAAAAATACGTGTATTTATATTTATACTGATGTACTTAAGAAAAAATAAAACAAAATACCAATTTTTTTACTATTTTTATAAAAATGTATTATTTTTTTTAATTATCTCTTAATTAATATATAAATTTTTTTAAGTCGAAGCACTTACTTTTTTTATTTGTTGGAATATTTTTTTAATATAAAAACCCTTTCTTATTTAGGCTTATGAAACGCACTGTTTAGGACTCTACTAAAATGTTTAAATAAGGGGTAACCAAAGCCGCTGGCATAAACCATTATTTATGCATTGATTTCAAATCACCAAAACAAAACAGAACGGACCAGAAAAAGAAAGTAGCAAATAAACACAATGGCAAAACGGAAGGCGGCAAATAAATAGACAACCCAGGAATATGGTAAAACAATGCCTGCAATAAATATCCACACATGTGTGCACTGCACAGTCGGGTTGTCTTTGTGCACCTATAAATAAATTCATTTTGTGATATTTATGCCACGATATGGCAACGGCTAAAATGGCAATCAGTTCAATGACCAACAAAAGTTTGTCTTGTCTCTCAGTTCTTACTATTATCTGAATTCCAGCAAGGTATCTTGGGCATTGTGGTTTTATTTAATCAAATAAAAACACCTCTTAACGAGGTAAAAAACTAGTGACGAACGCACCTTCAACATACAAAAGTTCTGATATCAACATTTGTGACGAAAAATTATTACACTCGTCATTAAATAGACTTTCTAATATTTTCTCATTCGGCCCGCCCTAGCAAACTATTCCAGCCTTTTTCCCTTCACAGGCATTTTCTATTGCAGCGTGCCGAATGAGAAAATATTAGAAAGTCTATTTAATGACGAGTGTAATAATTTTTCGTCACAAATGTTGATATCAGAACTTTTGTATGTTGAAGGTGCGTTCGTCACTAGTTTTTTACCTCGTTAAGAGGTGTTTTTATTTGATATCAGAAGTTTTTGTTTGTTTACTTTTGCTCTCATAGGTGCTAATATAAACATTTAAATTTAAATTGGTCAATCATAATTTGTAAGCCATTGTATTTAAACAAATTAAGTTAAAAAGTATTTCAAAATACCTTTTAAACGAGGTATGGCACATGTCTGTACCTTTAGTAGTTTAGAACTTACAAACTAACGAAATTTAGCCATTTTTAGCTTTTTTCCCGCTAAAGTAGCGGCTTTTTCCAAAAGTCGTAGAACAAAAGATTCCTATATGGAACTCTTAGGTGCAAATTTACTGATTCCATGACCCTAAAATACAGTTCGGATACCCTCACACAAAATTCAATACTCAGGGAGCGTTAATTGTTCGTGGCTATTTTCGTATAAAAATAACTTTTAAACGTGACTTTTTACAGTAATGTGTTATATACCAAAATTTAAGGAATCTCAAGGGCTATACAGTTTAAGGTTTTAAAGAAAATCGTTAGAGCCGTTTTTGAGAAAATTAAAAAAAGCTAAAAAAAAGTTTAAAAAAATTGTCTTTTGTTCATATTTTTTTAACTGTTACATTTACACAAATTGCATATAGAAGGCGTTTATAGCATTTCAAAATACCTTTCCAACGAGATGCAGCACAAGTCTGTAGCTTTAGTAGTATATAAGTTACGGCTTTCCGAATTTTAGCTATTTATAGCTGTTTTCCCGCTAAACTAGCGAGTTTTTCCAAAAGTGGTAGAAGAAAAGTTTTTGATATCGATGTGATGAACGTCATATCAAATTTTAAAAACTTAAAAAACATGTTTTGGACAAACTGACAAACTGACAAACTGACAAACTGACAAACAGAATTAAATTTTCATTTTGGGAAGATGAAGAAAATCGTATTTTGGCTATAACTTTTGAACGGAGCGTCGGATTTTGACAAATGACCCCTCATTCGACGGGTATTTTTAAAAGGAATACAAATAAAACATTGCGAGGGGGCATTTATCCCCACCGGCCCCAACAGCTCCAAATTTCGAAATTTTCACTTTTTCACTTTCACCGCTCTCTCTCCCAAGCCAATTGATTTTCTTAAAGTCTTGGTATGCAATCCTGTTAGTTTTCGTAATACCTTTCGATAGGTGTATCATTCATTATGATCGGACCATCACAGTAGATTTTCATTTCTTCGTGTATATATAGTAGTCGCCTTCGCACACTCTCCTGGTGCGCTTCGTCACTACATGGACTGCCGTCCATAGTGATAATAATTATTATAATAATAGTAGATAATAAAATAATAATTATTTTGATTTTAAATTTTAGTTCCTAAATTGCATAAAAACTTATTTTTATTTTAATATTTTAGAGATTTAATAGAATTTTCCACGTATTTTCTAGGATACCTTCGCCCTCTTCTTTTAAAGACTTTTCCATTGGATCCATTTTCCCTCGGATGCTCTTCTACTCCCTTATCCCACTCTCTCTTTTAGTTGGCAGCACTTTTAGTTAAATTGAGCAACAAACACGTTTGGCAATAAAAATGATTCCACTTCCAGTTGCTGCTGCCACGCCCCCTCTCCCCACCCATAAGGACTCCGCCCACTGGCCACCGCCTTCTTCTGACAACTCCAGTTTTTGGAGTCCGTTCCGAAAAATGCAAGCCGCAATGCGCTGGCAGTGGAGTTTTGCACATTCTAACAGATTTATTTCACTCGAAATAGTTTCATTTTAGTTGCATTATTGTTATTGTTTGCTCGTTGTTGCTTTTACTGCTGTTATTGCTATTGTTGTTGCCGCTTGCCAGAGTGACTGCGGAAAGTTTTTCTATTATTTTCAAATTTAACTTTGCCATTTGTTTGAATTTCATGGATACACGTACGGACAGCTGGGGTCGAAATAATACAACTGAGAAGTTGTAGTGCTCACCTTTAGATCCTAAAAATTTTACACCTTTTAATTTTAAGATAGTCTAAATTTTAAATTCTTAGTATTGGTTCATTAGTTTTTAAGACCTTTAAATAAAATATTTTTATTTCGTTTTCAGTTTTGGTTACTAGTATTTTAACCGTATTTGTATGCATGTGCTTGTGGTCTAGTTGGTGTATTTTTGTGTAAAAGGGTTCGAGGCAGCGAATTTCAG